CACTGGAGAAAATGGGGGTCGTCGGACAGAAATTGAGTGTCGTGGTCGCCGGAGGTCGAGGAGCTCGGGCTTGACTTGCATCACTTTTCCTTTTGAGTTCTGAGTTCGTTTGCTTGGAAACTGAATTCGATTTCGTTTCTCGCCAAATTGATTTCCTCCTCTATATATAAAGTCGGCCACGACCTCGACCTGCACACCACATACAAAGAAATACCGGAAAACGACCGAAAAAGTATAACAAATACCCAAGCTAAAAGAAAATACATAAAAACTATGAATCAAGATGAAAACCAAATAATAGACCTAATATGAGGGAAAAAGAAAGAAGAAATAACAATGAAAACCGTAATAAAAATGGGACAAATAATATATTGTTTATTTTCAAACAAACAATAATATAAATATTAAATAAAAATTATAAATAATAAATAATTTTTTTATTATATAAATAATTTGATAATTGCAAAACAATGTTAATTAAAATACACACTATTAAAAGTTTTTAAAATTGAAATGCAAACGAAAAAAATACTCGATCAATAGACTACACAATAATGTTAGAAGAGCTGGACATTATTGTCTTTTTTTTCTGAACAATAGAAAATTTTATAAATCAAGACGCACAAATGTGTAAAAAACCAGCCCATAGCTGAATAATACAACCAACAGCTGAAAAAACTAAGAGAACAAGTTAGAAGACCGCCTAGAACTGAAAATAGCAATGCTAGAAACCAAAAGTCAAGACTCGCCACACGGCAGACGCAAAACAATAAAACCTACATCAGAGCTCCTCACAGGAGAATAGAAACGATCCCCAAGGGATAATCTCCGCACACAGTCAGGCACACAGATGCCAACGGCCCAAACAAAAAACAAAAGACCTAAACACCACGAACTTAAAAACAACACAAACATTATTGTCTGTGAGAATGCACATTATGAATTTCATAATTTTATTTATTATGTCTTTTAAACCAAAAGTAATATAAAATATTAAATATAAATATTAAAATACAAAATATATTTCTATAATATAAACAATAAATCATCTATGTTATTCTAATCGAGAGAATAAATCGATCACTTCATATCGATTTTAGTTTGGCGTGAATAAGAATCATTAAAAATGTATGCACTACAAGTGTACAATAGTGTTAGACGAACTGCACATTCATGATTATCAGATTGCACAATAAAACCAGAAATTGTCCGAACTCAAATCCTCGTTTCGAAATTTTATAGTTCGGTTTAGTTATATGTTTTTTCTTTGAATCATTGTTATTTAAGTTCGACGTCGGCTTATTTTTTAAAACCGAAATATCCATACCGACTGGACAATACAAAAAATAATATTGATATTTTTTTAAAAAAATCTTATGTATAGCAGTGCACATTAAGGTTTTACGAATTGGACATTAGTAACTATTTACACAATATCGAATAAAACCAACTGAACTAAACTTTTCAGTTCGAAATTTTAAATTTCGATTCGATCATCTTCTTTACTTTAAAAACTCGGTAATTTCGGTTTGGTCAGGACTTTTTCTTTAATTACCTAACCAAAATAATTGGACAATCAAACTATATAAAAAAATCATTATCATTTTTTTTTATATTTTTATGTAACATATTATTTATTTTTAACCAAATATTAAATAAAAATATTGAAATAATAATTATAGTTTGATTAGTTACAAATTCGACCCATGACACAATTAAAATATTAAAGTTTCTAAAATTGCTATCACGTCCTTATGACTTATCAAATTTACAAAATGCATCTCCTTAAATAAAAATCTGAAAACTCCCGATTGTCTCACAAGCCACAGTCGTCTTTACCATCGCTGACCACCGTGACTCGAGGTTCGACGCAATATTCGGTTGTCGTCATCGCGTCCACTAGGATGGTCAACCACCTCTGTCGTGCCAGCAACCTCCTCCGTCGCATCATCAACATCCTCATCCTCCGTCGCGCCGTCAACCCTCTATGCGGCCATCAAACCTCCAACCGTTGTCCATTTTCTATTGTTCCGGTGTTACGACGTCGCCGTCCTCGGCCACCTAGATTACGTCAATCACCTAATCGCCCGAAGGATCGCTCTCGCTGGCGAGCACGATGCCAGCGGTTGCACGCCTCAGCATTTGGTGACCTAGAGGGCCACACGTCATCTTGGAGAGCACATATTATCCGACATCAGAGCTTTTGACGGCGACAGCAGACGGTGTGTGTGACCGTGTGTGTCCGTGCGCCGAGTGCACGAATAATATTTTTTTTGTGTGTATTTGTGTGTGAGAGGGTGAGAGTTATGGTGGGGCCCACAAAGTGGGTGCTGAGTGAGAATTGTGTGAGATGACATGAATGCCCTTATTGAGTGGTCTGTTGGGAAATAAGGTCGGATAAGATGGAATAATAATAATACACCAACGTAAAATCAATAAAGACACGAAGATTTGTTAACACAGTTCGGATTAAATCCTACATCTGGGGGCGAACCAAGCCAGGAGAATGAACTAGAAGAAGAGGATAAACCGAATGTTACAATTCACACAAGCCCGTATGAATACGCTCTCTCTACTCTTTTTTTCTCTCTCTCTGTATTGTTATGTTTTTGTTGTTGTGATTTGGTTCATCACAATCCCTCTATTTATAGAAGAAGAGTACACATACTTTTTTCCACATTTGTGTACTATTAATGTGAACAAAGAAGAGTTGTTGACAATATTTGTCAAATGGTATGGGCTCAGCTACCCATTTTTACCTAACAATCTCCCACTTGAGGACTGATTTCAATCTGTCCTCACACCTCATCGATCACCATGTTCATCTCTGCTCTTGGTTCTGCCGGGTCTGTCTGTTTTAATCATCAAGGCCGGTCGAAGCTACACACAGCTTCAACTTTTTCAAAGTTACCGCCTTGGTCAACATGTCTGCAGGATTCCTATCTCCCCGAATCTTTTTCAGCTGCAACATCTTCTTCTCTAGAAGTTGCCAGATGAAATGATACTTAACCTCGATGTGCTTCGTTTGCGAGTGAAACGCGGGATTCTTTACCAGATGAATTGCACTCTGGCTATCGCTGTACAAAGCCACATCCTCCTGAGGTCTCCCAAGTTCATTCAGAAAGTTTTGCAGCCAAAGGAGCTCTTTGGCTGCCTCCGTCACTGCCACGTACTCAGCTTATGTTGTTGACAATGTGACTATCTTCTGCAGCTTTGAGATCCAGGATACGGCCGTCCCACCGTAAGTGAACACGTACCCAGTAGTACTCCTCCTCTTGTCATGATCACTTCCTGCAAAATCAGCATCGACAAACCCAGACAGGGTAAGGGTACCCCTGCCAAATAACAATGCCCGGTCCTTAGTACCTCTCAGGTACCTAAGGATCCACTTTACCGCCTCCCAGTGCATCACTCCAGGATTTCTCATGAACCGGCTGACTACTCCCACTGCATGTGCTATGTCTGGCCTGGTGCAGACCATAGCGTACATCAGACTCCCTATAGCCGAAGCATAAGGCGTAACTTTCATCCTTTCTTTTTCAGAGTCATCCTTAGGCGAATCCTTGTTGGACAACTTGTACTGGCTTCCCAATGGTACTCCAACCGGCTTTGCAGTATTCATTTTGAATCTGCACAACACCTTCTCAATATAATCATATTGAGAAAGCCAATGTTTACCAGCATTCCTGTCCCTCGTGATTTTCATGCCCAGTATTTGTCTCGCTTCTCCTAGATCCTTCATATCAAATCTCCTTGATAGTTGATCCTTGAGTCTCTCGATCTCCTTGACATCTGATCCTGCTATCAGCATGTCATCCACATATAGCAGTAAAATAATGAAAGAGTTACCGAACCTTTTCACATAACAACAATGATCAGCATTACACCTGGAGTATCCAATCTCCAGCATGAAATTATCGAACTTTCGATACCACTGTCGAGGAGCCTGTTTCAGTCCGTACAAGATCTTCTTTAGGCGACAGACCTGCTGATCATTTCCTCTATACCCCTCTGGCTGCACCATGTAAATTTCTTCCTCGAGATCCCCATGCAGAAAGGCCGTCTTCACATCTAACTGTTGCAACTCCAAATTTTCCGCCGCTACCATGCTTAACACTAGACGAATAGTGGTTAACTTAACAACAGGTGTAAAAACATCGGTAAAGTCAATACCGTATCTCTGTTGGAATCCCTTCACTACAAGTCTGGCCTTGTATCGCTTCGTCCCATCTGATTCCTCCTTGACCCGATAGACCCATCTGTTTTGAAGAGCCTTCTTTCCTTTTGGGAGATCACACAAATCCCATGTGTGGTTCTTCTTCAACGAGTTCATCTCGTCGTCCATCGCAAGCTCCCACTTTCTCTTGTGAGTATCTTTAACTGCCTCTGCATAACAGTCGGGTTCTCCAGAATCAGATAAAAGTAGGTAATAAAGAGAAGGGGAGTACCTATCCGGGGCCCTTCTCATCCTCGGTTCTCGGCCCAGTGCCAGAGGCGTGCTTCTCTCAGCAATCGGTTCATCCGATTCTTGTTCTACCTCTTCTTCTGTACGCTCGATCTCATCTATCTGAGCTTCCACTGAATCTGCTGGTCTCATGATTCTGGTATTTGAAATATCGAGACCAACATACTTCTGCATGGTATTGTCATCGTCTGGGTATTCCATCCGGTCCTTGTACATTATGCCTTCATTAAATACCACATTACGACTGCGAATAATTTTCCAATTTTGATCATCCCAAAATCTATACCCAAATTCGTCAGTCCCATATCCTATGAATGTACATTTGATGGACTTAGCATCCAGCTTTGTCCGGTCGTCGTTCAAAACGTAAGCCAAACAACCAAAGGTACGTAAGAAAGAGAGATCAACTTCCTTACCACTCCAGACCTCTTCTGGAATTTTGTTGTTCAGTGGGACAGAAGGCCCCCGGTTGATCAAAAAAGCGGCCGTGCTAACTGCTTCTGCCCAAAACATCTTGGGCAGTCCACTCTTCAATCGCATGCATCTCGCACGCTCATTTAGTGTCCTATTCATCCTCTCCGCAATGCCATTTTGCTGAGGTGTCCCTGGGACCGTCTTCTGCATTCGAATCCCATGATCAGCGCAGTATTCCTTGATGGCTTCACTGTTGTACTCACCACCGTTGTCGGATCTGAGACATTTCACTTCCAGACCTGTGTCTTTCTCCACGAGTGCTCTCCATCTCCTGAAAGTATCAAAGGCTTCGGATTTTCTTTTCAGAAAGTACACCCACACCTTTCTTGTGCAGTCATCGACGAACGTCATGTAGTACATCGATCCTCCAAGAGATGTCATCGGTGCTGGCCCCCATAAGTCAGTGTGCACGAGCTCCAGTTTTTCTATCTTTGGAGCTCTCCCAGTGGTTATGAAGCTCACTCGCTTCTGCTTTCCAAGCACGCATTGCTCGCAGAGACCCACGTCCACTGACTCCAACTCGGGCAAAAGTCCTCTCGACTTTAGTACCTTCATTCCTTTCTCGCTCATGTGGCCCAAGCGACTGTGCCACAAGTGCGATTGTGAGACAGTTCCTGCCAGGAGAATGTTTGAGCTGGATCCACTCGCTGTGTAAAGCGTTCCTGACTTCAGCCCTCTTGCCAAAGTCATAGCTTCTCGGCTGACCTTCCACTTTCCGTCTCCAAACATTGTGTGGAAGCCGTCATTGTCCAACTGTCCAACTAAGATGAGATTCCTCTTCAGTCCTGGAATGTGCCTCACATCCCGTAGGGTCCAGCACAACCCATTTGCGGACTTGATCTGCACATCTCCCTTCCCTACAATTTTTAGAGATTTGTTGTCTGCAAGATATACCACGCCAAAATCACCTGCGGTGTATGGCTCCATGATGTCTCTGCTACTGCAAGAGTAAAACGAGGCCCCTGAGTCCACGATCCAATCATCGAGCGAGCTTCTCACACTCAACAAGGGTGCATCCGCCGTGTCCTCCGTCGCGGCATTGGCTGTCCGGCCTTCTTTGTCCTTCCTTGGTGCCCGACATTCGCTTTTCATATGCCCAGGCTTCTCGCAGTTCCAACACACCATCTCTTTCTTGCCTTTATTCCTCCCCCTGGATTTTGACCTTCCACGGATTTTCCCTCGTATTTCGAGTCTCCCTCTGGACTCTGTATGTAGGGCTGAGCCAGACGACCCACCCGCCTGATTTCTGCGGGTCTCCTCGTTCAACATCATGTCTCTGATGTTGTCGAACTTCATCTTCTCCTTGCCAGAAGAAGTGCTCACCGAAGTAACAACCACGTCCCAACTGTCCGGCAATGATGAGAGCAAGATTAAGGCTTTTACCTCATCATCAAACGAAATATCCACCGATGCCAGCTGCGTCGTGAGTTGGTTGAAATCGTTGAGATGATCAGCCACTGACTTTTGCTCCTCCGTTTGCAATTTGAACAGCTTTTTCATTAACATCACCTTGTTTATTGCTGATGGTTTTTCATACATGTCGGCGAGTGTCTGCAAGACCTCCTTCGTGCTTTTTGCTCCCTTCACATGGTAGGTGACGTTTCGAGAGAGCGAAAGAATTATAGCGCTCATCGCCTTCCGATCGAGCACCTTCCATTCATCATCGCTCATCTTCTCGGACTTTTCCCCAAGAGGTGCGTAGAGGTCCTTCCCGTACAGGTAAGCCTCCATTTGCATTCGCCAGAATCCAAAGTCGGAACCATTGAACCGTTCGACTTGAATCTTTCCCTCCATCTTATCTCCAACCTCCTGGCTCTGATACCAGTTGTTGGGAAATAAGGTCGGATAAGATGGAATAATAATAATACACCAACGTAAAATCAATAAAGACACGAAGATTTGTTAACCCAGTTCAGATTAAATCCTACATTTGGGGGCGAACCAAGCCAGGAGAATGAACTAGAAGAAGAGGATAAACCGAATGTTACAATTCACACAAGCCCGTATGAATACACTCTCTCTACTCTTTTTCTCTCTCTCTCTGTATTGTTATGTTTTTGTTGTTGTGATTTGGTTCATCACAATCCCTCTATTTATAGAAGAAGAGTACACATACTTTTTTCCACATTTGTGTACTATTAATGTGAACAAAGAAGAGTTGTTGGCAAGATTTGTCAAATGGTATGGGCTCAGCTACCCATTTTTACCTAACATGGTCAAATTTATGCATTTGAAATGTACATTTCTTTACAGAATTACCACTGCATTTTTTACTTAAATGTGACCATTGATTTGATAAATCCAATTGATAAGATTTATTCTTATTTTTTTCCCTATCTACTAATCTCCTATAATCTCATATCTCTATATATATTGATATTGGTAATCAAAGGACACTATTAATATTCAACACAACAAGCATCCTTTCAGCATAGACATTTTTTTTTTTTTTTTTATTCTTATTCGTATTTGTAATACAATGAAATAAAAAATAAATTAGAAATCAAGTGATACATTAATGATGTAGCTTTAGTGATTAACAAGATGATGAAGTGTGAATATGAGTTAGGCGTAGGGAGCGGGCATTGGGAGGTTGTTAACGATGCCACAGAGCTGCTGAGTGGGAGGAATGTTGTACTCGTCCCTGAGAGACCTAGCCGGGGATAGCACGCTCACATACAACTGTTGGCCCAGGTAAGTCCTCTCCCACATGTCAGACCTCAGATTCCATAGCCCGGCGTTGTCGAGCGTGGTCATGATGGCTGCCCATGAGTTGGGGTACACCTGGATGGTATGCCTGCTCACGGCATCCAGCAGATTGTAGTTCTTCCTCTTCTCGGGGCTCCACCTCCCAGGCTCGATGGCCACCGCAAAGAACGAGTACCCGTCTAGGTGCCATGTCTGGATGCTCTTCTCCCTGTTCTCAAAGATTATCTCCACAAAGTTTCTAAAGGTGGCATTCACCACGCTTGGGGCCACCACCAGCTGCGCCCCCTCACTCGCCTCATCCTTCACCAGCCCATACTCAAACACCTTGTTCGCCACCCCAAAGTATTCTGCCAGCTTGAGTGGGGTCTCCGTGTCGACATGGGACACGCCATTGATCCCATACCGGAGCTTGCCGTTGAGCTGGGATTGGGAGTTGGCAATCTTAATGGTGCGGGTGATGTTGATCTTTCCGTAGTGGTACGACCCCTGTGGGTTGGGGCGGGCGGCGCTGGCGGTCAGGTTCCACCTGAAGGACCGGAACTGGTTGACGGACCACGCGATGCTCTTCCTCTCGGTCTCGGGGGGAGGTGGCGGAATATCAGCGGTGGACGCTGGGACAGAAGCTCCCGCGTAGCGGACAACGGCCACAGAGGAGAGCGGGTGTTTGGTGAAGCGGCTAGAGACAACAAGGTAGTAGTCCTTGGGGGCTTGGTCGGCCGTGACGAGGACAGACAAGCATTGTCCCACGTGGAGGTCGAGGGAGTCGTACACGTTCTGGACGGTGTGGGAGCCTTCCATCTCGACCAGCGTCATGGGGTGGCCTTGGAAGCGGAAGTTGACCGAGAGGTGCATGCCGCTGTTGCAGACGCGGAAGCGGTAAGTCTTCCCCGGCTCAAGGGTGGCGAGGGGCTCGGCCACGACGTCCCCAACCTTGTTGGACCGGCCGTTGATCTGGATGCCGTCGGGGCGGCCGATAGAGCGTCCCGAGTCAAGGATGGATTTGAGGGCCTTATGGCCCTTATTGTACCAGTCGCCCAGGACGACGGCAAACTCGTCAGCCGGGCGGTCGAAGGGGACAGGGATGAGGTCGCGGCTGTGGACTTGGAGGACGCCAATGCCGCCAGCCGCACGTTGGAGGCCGGTCGTGGGGAAGTAGAGGTAGCTGCCGATCTGGTCCTTCACCTGGAACTTGTAGGTGTAGTTGGTTCCGGGCAAGATGGGGCACATGGTGCCAGGGGTGCCGTCCTGCCACGAGTTCTTGCGCTGCTGGATGCCGGCCCACGTAAGGAGAAAAGGCTCATCCAGGTGATTGAACACGTTGACCACGATGTTGTTGTTGGAGGTGCAGTTGATCTTAGGGCCAGGGAACTGGCCGTTGATGAGGATACCCTGTTGGGGGATGCCGAGGGGTGAGATGGTGCCGTAGGTCACTTTCCATTCATAGAAGAGGTAAGGGTCCTCGGCGGTGGCGCAGGCGAACACGCACACGACCGCGGCCATAAAGATGAAGCGCTTGCTAGAACCCATGGCCATCTACAACACTTGATTGGTGCCTCCTCTTATTATTATTTTTTTCTTCTTCTTCTTTTTGGGTTTGTCTGCCAAGAAGAAGATGTCAGATGTTGGATTTGCCTTCTTCTGGCAATTATTTGATGGGAAAAAAAAAAAAGGGAA